GCCTCTGCAGACTGTATTCTGTGTTTGAGTGCTTACTTAGGCTGGGTTCACACCTGGGCGTATCGATTATGCGCAGTGTCCGAGGGCTACCTGGCTGTATCCCAATGGATACGCGCGCCAAATATGCCCCAAAGAAGCTCCTGTACTTCTTTGGGCGTAGGGCGTTTTGCAGCGCGTTCCTACGCACTGTAGAACGCCCAGTTTGGAACCATGCCCATAGGCAATCATTGGTTTTCACATGTTGAGCGTTTTACAGAGCGTAGGAACGCGCTGTAAAACGCCCAGGTGTGAGCCCAGGTGTAAAATATTCTTCTAGAAGTTAAAGCAAAACTGGGCAAATCAAATTTTAACCATTGCAGTTGGGCCACACCCACACTACATGGGTTTAAGTGCTCATTTTGTCTAGGGAGCTAAAATAAAGTTATATTCATCCAAACCACGATCCTGGCTGGCTCCTTCACTCCTCTGCTCCAGCGATGGTATGTCCCTTGGCATCCTCACATTCTATACACTGCATAGAATGTGATGACTCACAGACCATAGGCCGCTGGAGTAGAGGGGGAGCGAGGCATTCTTGTGGTTCGGGTGAGTATATTTCTGTTATTTTACCTCCTAAGACAAAACAAGCACTTAAACCTTGCAGTGTGGGGGTAGCCCAACTGCAAGGGTTAAGATTTGATTAAGGCCACATGCACACAATGTAGAAAAAACATCAGTCCAGGTGCGTTTGGAGCTCATTTCTAAAGGCACCTGAATTCATGTCAATGCTTTTCCATGACTACATGCACACCGGGATGTTCAACAGGGTCTCGGTTAATTTATTCTATAAGTATTTACCCAAACTAGACATTTCTGCTTCTAGGTCCGTGTAGCCTGGTTGTATGCAGCTTAACGCATGTAAATGGGACAATGCCAAGCCACAACCTAACACAGGAAAAAGTCATCTGGGAAGCATAAGTTGTTTATACTTACCAGATAACTTCTCTTGTATTTAAATGCAGGTGGCTCATGTGCATGAGGCCTGAAGTGTATGTATAGGCAAATCTTTTTTTATTAGTTTTGATTAGAGTAGGGAAAGGCTAAGATCCCTGGCAGGTTATGTTTTTGTTGTCTGCTTAGCATTGTGAAAACTTCCCTACACCTCCTGTCTCAGGGACACAACAAGAAATCAGTGTAAATCTCCCAAGACATCTGGGTGCCTGCAAGGTGTTCTGTTTTTTCTTACCTGGGGAAGCAATTTATACTCACCTGAATCCCCCTATCCAGGTCCCTCACCAGTACTGTTTTTGCCTGCAAGGACCGCTAATCCAGTGCCATACAGTAACCCTCGTGGCCTGGTCCCCTTGACTCCCCTTGGGCCATTAGTCTTCTGGAACCTGAGAGGACCCCTCTGCTGGACAGCAAGTGGAAATTGCCCAGGTCACACAGACAGTGACATGGACACCCAAAGTTGGACCCCAGCAGGAAGTCTATCACAGGAGCATGCTTGGAGGTGGCTACTTTACAGCACACGCAGGGACCATGGAGAACAAGAGTAGCCACCCTCCAGAAGGAAGGACAGTGTCAGCACACATTCAGAGATGATTGGAGGATCTACAGCTAAATGATACACAAATAAGATACATTTTTGTTAATAGTTAAGGTACTTTAATGTATTTTGAAAGGATTTAACTCATGCGTTAAGTGTCATTTTAACTAACAAAATATATTATTGGGTCTTTATTTCTGGTGGATGTTTCTAGGTATATAGTGGTAACTTCACTTTAAACTATTTCTCCTCAATAAGCAAGGCTTTTAAGCATTTACATTTATATGGCTTTTATACATACCTACAGAGATGTTCTGAATTTTTCAACAGATATCTATTTAGGGTAGATGCGCCCTTCCAAGTATGTTAAGCGCTATGACACCTGTAAGTTTCAAGCATATCAAATTCTTTAATGCTAATGTAAAGTATATGATTTTCTCCTTTGCCAAATTCAAGCAGATGTTCAGTTTTAAAGCCTAATGCCTGTCACAATGCGTAAATAATTAGAATATACAGTTCATACAGAAAGTTGCCTCTAGGACAGGAAAATCTGTTTATCCTCTTATATCTTCGATATATATTCCCCAGATGGATTTTTTATGTGTTTGAAAATAAATGTCTATTTTCCTTGCTTTCTAGGAAAGGCAGTGGCCTATTAATGTTCTAATTCATTAGCTAAGCATAATAGGTTATGTATTTGTACACAGGTCAACATAAGGAAACATGATTTCTTATCCTACTCTAGGCTAATATTTAAGCCCATGACTGCCAAATACTTTAAAGCAGTTGTACAACCTACGCTCATTGGTTTATTGCATTTAAGCAAATTTACAGAATGCCTTGGGAAATGTAGAACAGGATTGAGTATAAACGTATTGCATGCAAGAATGCAGAAATAAGTCTTATATCCAGTTTAGGATTTGTACTACTTAAACCCGTTCACTAGGTTATGGGAAGTGACAAGCATCATTTGGAGAGCAACAGCACACTCACCTGTCTAGATTTGGATGTTTGCTACCTTGTTGCTAACTTGTGCTTTGCCCTAATTGACAACCGAGCATAATTTGTTATTTTATTTTGCAAATATTTTACTGGGTTTTCAAATAAACAACAAGACAAAAAATGGTCAGTTCACAAAAGAAAGGCATAACACATATGCAAGATACAACAAGTAATAACAGGCCTGGAGTGAACAAGGGCTGTGTCAGGAACCGGATCTGAACCCAGAGCCTCTGCTGTAGCTGGCGGTGGTTCTACCTGCTGAGCCATGTTAGAACCTTGGATAGCTCCTTGCCTGAACTCATGTGTAATCCTCAATTATACATAATCTCTGATGAACTCTGAACTCCTTGCTCCTCCCTTGAATTTCCTATTTAAGCCATGCCTCTGCACTTCGTCTTTGCCAGATTATTGTGCTCCTGCCAATATCTTGCTCCTCCTGTGATGAAAATGCCTGTCACTGTAAGGATTGTTTAGCCTTGCGGTGCCTGTAAAGACTCTGCAGGCACCGCCAGGCAACCACATCCTGCTGTTGGGGGTCATTGTGAGGACCAGTGGCGGAACTACCACGGCACTGGGGGGGGGGGGGGG